TTTTTTCTTTTATGTGGGGGTGCACACCCGACCAATCATGGTACTAGATAATTCTATATACAACACCTGCAAGGACATCTAAAAAATGCTAAAATCGTTAAAATAACTGTGCTAATCACTAAATTGAAACTGTCAGGCTACAACCCATATTTGCATGCCAGCAGAAATGAAACAGCCAGTGCTAGAGGCAGGCTATACGGTGCATTTTTTTTGCCTTCTACATTAATTAATGGGTAATTCAATAAGAAATGTATAGTCCTCTCTTTTCTTTAATCCCCCTCATCCGTCTCAAATTATACTGTGCATGCAGTTAAAACATTGGTGTCACTTGCGTCGCAAGCCCAAATATGTAAACAACCCTAAAGTGAGCTGATTCGTAAGTCTGTAAACCCTTTGATCTACATGCAATAGAAACATATCCAGTTTAAGTTACTTTTCAGATTTGTTTGGTTAAAAGCTAATTTTCTTGAAAAAATTTTATTGAGAAAATAATTAAAAATATATTGAACAAAAAATTAAAAAATTTTGTAATGAAATTTTATTAATTTTTTTTATTAGATTGTAATATTAATATTAAGAAAAATGGATGATACATATTCAATTTAATACATTCTTTAACACTCATCTTAAATTAATTATTAAAATATAATATAAATATAATCAATTTAGTAATATCCTATATCTTGTACAAATAGTTGTATCTTTAAGTTTATTTGCATTTAATTTCATACCAAAAAGTAATGTTTTTTAATGAATATATTATGCAGTATATTAAACTAAAATGTATTTTAGTCATTGTCCTAATATTAATTATTCTTACAAAGCTGCCTTTAGATTAGTATTTGGAGAAGATTACTAGCAATTGCAATGAATTGGTTACAATCGGGATCCGAATAAAAGATCACTACCAAATGCAATGAAAATGGTTGCAATGCTAGGCTTAATGCTAAGAAGCTTGTTTTATCATACGAGCTCGGCATAAAAGGAATTCATATGGTCCGGGTTGCTTCGACTTATAAAAGCATCTAGGCCTATTTAGTTAGGGAAAATAATCGATATACGGTTTGATTTAACATATTTATTATTATTTATTAATTTAGTTATTAAATTTTACAATCAAAATTTTTTTATTTTGAATTTATATTTAAAAATAATAATTTTTTAGTAAATATATTATAAAATATATTAGATAGAAAAATATATCAATTATTGTCCATTAGTTTGAGGCATAAAAAGAATTTATATGGTCAGAGTTAGTTTGACTTAAAAAAGTGTTTAGGCCTATAGATAAATTTTATTAAAAAAAAATTACTAACAAAGTAATTTAGAAAATACTAAATGAATAATAAATAAATTTTGTAATAAAATTTTCGTAGAATTTTTTGAGTTATTAAAATTTACATAAAAAAATTAGTAAAAAAGTTGTTAAAAGAATCTCAAATTAAGAAAGTCGGAGGAAAAAAACTTTTTTTTCCTCCACAAAGCGTGGAAGAAAAGTTTGTTAATTACAAATCATATCAAGAAAAATAAAAAATAAAATATCACTTTTACTCTCTATTTATTTTAATCTTATCTTATCTTATATATATAAAATGCTACCCTATGCATTAAATAGGGTATGCATTTATATATAATATATAATATAATATAATATATGTTTATTTATTATTTATTATATAATTATTATATACAATTATTGATGAATAGAGTATTTTGTTTTCATCTAAAATTACACCATTTTAAACCAAACTATTATTGAGACTATAAAGAGTTTAATATAAAATTAATAATATGTAAGTAGTTAAAATTATTATAACAATGAAGAATGACAAATGAGTATTTATCATGCTAACTGAATATAATTTAGATGAATAATATGTTAATTTTTAATATTAAAAATACAGTTCATCATTTGGTAGATGAAGAGGTAAGACCATTTCCACCCCTTTTTTTATAACATGCTAATTAGTAATATTCGAGATCGGTTCATCTTATCTTATATAATCTATATATCTATATATATATAATGCTACCTTATGCATTAAAAAGTGTATGCATTAACAATAGTTTAGAAACATGAAAAAAAAAAAAGAAAAAAAGAAAAAAAATGAGAGTACATTTTATATTAATGAGTTGATTAAGCTTGCTATATATCCCTAATTAATAAATAAATATATAGTAAAATAATTTCTCCAATTATTTGATGTATATTAATTAAATTAATACATTTATTATTATTTTCTGTTACATATACATTAAACCAAAAGAAGAGAAAGAGATATACCTTTTGATTTTCCCTTTCATGAAAAGTTTACTAGATAATAAATATATTTAAATCTTCCTCTCATAAAATATTCTCATTATTATCATTAATTTTATAATATTATGACCTATCTCTTGAAATTCTCTTCCTACTATATATAGTCCATTGATTTCTTTTGAAGGCAATATTGATAAAACAAAATAATAATAATAATAATAATAATAATAATAAGGAGCACGTTAACCAGTCGGTAAAATACTCAAATTCACCCCCAAAATATAGTGGTAGGGACAAATCTACCCTCAAACAAAAAATGGGAACAAATTCATCCACAAAATTTTCGATTTGGATAAATCAATCCAAATTTAACATGTGACATCATCTAACATTAGCAATACATTGATGTCAAATGACATCATACATTAAATTTGGAATAATTTGTCCAAATCAAAAACTTTGTGGGTGGATTTGTCCCTAATTTTTGTTCGGGGGTGGATCCGTCCCTACCATTGTACTTTGGGGATGAATTTGAGTATTCTGCTTTAACCAATCAAATATGCAATGCGAGGGCTTTATGCAATGAGAATGGCATTGGGAGGTGCATCACATTTGCAGGGAAGCGAACTACAATCCATATTATATGGCTTTGGGATTTTACCATGTAGAAAGGGAAGGGATACAGCTCATTTGGTAGATAAACATCTTAGAAATGATTTGTTAGGAGTGTGTAAACTTATAGCCTCCAAATTAATTAGTAATTAATCGTTGTCATCGTAAAAAAAAATATTCCATTTGATTGTTTACATTTTTGTTTCTGTTTCTTAATTAAAATTCCTAACAAAGTTCTCTGTTATTATTATTGATTAAATATTTATAATTCATGAAATCTATTAACAAATTAATCGTGTTTGCAATGGTACCTAATTTTCATTCACTTGATTTTTTTTGAGCCAACTTATACTCTTGATTAT